TGTCCAAACATGGCAAAAGCAGTAACAATAATAATTATTATAATAAAACTCATGAAAACCTCTAACCCAATAGAGCCATTCTTCCCTCCGCGTTGATGTTGCCTTTGTGCCCTGGGTGAGTTGTAAGGTAATGGAACCTCTAATGGTCAAGGTGACTATGTCGCAACTCAGTTTCATCTTGAAATGAGTCACTCACCAGGTTCCCTGATCATCTGAGAAGAGTCAGAAGTGAAAATGGATAATGTAGAGCTGGAGGCTCCAGATACGCTTGCTTTAACTCCATGAGCAGGAAGAAGAAAATGCTCACTGGCTTCTTTTCCCCTGGATTTGCAGGCAGAAGATCATTTCTCAGTTTGGTATCCTTGAGGCAGCCCTAATGGAGACTGTGAAGCATCATGTTGGAGAAACTCTACCCCATGGGGCAGAGGTTTGGACCTTCTGCTCCCCCAACTCTTCAACATCTAAGCTCTCCCACAGCAGCTTCCCTGGGGTGGAATCCTTGTGAAATTTTAAGTACCTACACACCTGCTTCTTAGGACCACAGGCATGTCACTCAACATCACTGATCTTAAATTTACGCATCTATAGTATAAAGACAATAATGTTTACCTACTGGTATTATATTGAGGATTTAAGGAGATAAAGTATGAGAAAACATTGTAAGCTAGAAAAATCTGTACATCACACTATAAATACTCTCAGAAGTATTATTGAACCCACCTCTGCCACTTCTTAACCAGCTCTGAACTAAGTCTCCATTAACTGCAAGACACATTGTTATTTCACAGACAAAAATGAGGTGCTGTCAATTAAACTGAAACCCAATGCATTTCTCGCACTTAGAAATTTTATTTTTTGCTTATTGAAAGAGTTATTTTAGACTGACTTAGGGAAGATGATGGAGTGAGCAAATTGTTGCTATAGAAAATGACGCTATGCTGAGATTCATGTCTAGGCTGATTTGGTATTGTGGTGAGGGTGTCAGTGGGAGACGGAGAATGGATTCTGAAGGGAATAAAAACACCCTTCAAATTTCAAGTAATCTCAGAGAAGACTTGGATCTCCACAGTCTGTGGACTAGTGGTTACAAAGATGCTGCCTTGTACAAGAAGCTAGTTAAATTTGTGGCTCTCTGTGTCAAAATTTCCTTTGAAAAGACACTCTTCTCTGTATCCCACTGTCTTTCAAACCAGGAGCTCTAAATATGACATGGGTGCTTTGTTGTCTTCCCACTGCACTAGGGAAACTCTGCTTCCTGCCACGTGGGGACGGATCCATGAGGAAAAGCACTCCCCTGAACCAGGGATGTCAAATTCAGACCTGGGCTAGGGCATTCTGGTCAAAGGTCACCTTGACTGGGAGGCTGAAACCAATGTCCCTGGGCATGGGTTCCGTTGTCCTCTGACCTTTGTTTGGCAGTGTGAGAAAGGGCAAAGGAACACAGGAATGAGTTAAGGAGACACCCAGTTTGTAAATGAGACTGCCAAGGTATAAGAGCCAACTCTATCATTTACCAACCAAAAAGTCTCAGACAAACTACTTAATCTCTTTGTGTTTATATTCCCATATCTGTAAAATGAAGAATATGATACATCCACTTCAGAGGGGACCTTGAAGAATTGGGTCTTTGTCTATGTTGTGAAGATTCAGTGAATTAATCCATGGAAAATGCTTATAATAGTGTTTGGTGGGAAAGGTAGCCACTATGATCGCATAGGACTTTCCCAGAATATCCTTAGAAGTTTTCCCCAATGAATATAACCAATACTGCTGAGGCTGAGAACCTAGTTCTAAATAAATATATTAAGTGTGGCAATGCCAGCTTGCCCAGTCCACTCCTCCATATCTTCTGTGACTTCCTCAAGTTTCCTGAATTCTAGACCCACAGTGAGAAGGGAACATGGTGGATAGAGAGAGCCTGTTTTTCTCATTTCCCTTCTTATTTAGGGACCATGAGTAGTATGAGGATCGACTTATACTTCCAAGTGTCTTTTAAATAAGTAAATGTGTCTTTTAAATAAGTAGATGAATTTTTAAATAAGTAAATAGATAAATAGTAAATAGATGAATCATACAGCACTGAATTCATCAGATAGGGAGATCCCTTCTGTCTGTCTGTATCTCTGTCTCTTTATTTTTCTATTTTGAAATCTGGAAGGGCCCTTTGTGACCAAATGGTCAGGCCTCTCCAGTAACAGATGAGAGAATGGAGGCTCAGACAAATTACTGTCACTGATCCAAGTTCCTTGTTTAATTTGCGGCAGAAGAGGTCTCAGGAACTAAGTGCCAGCCATGTTCCCACTGTGGCTGTGTGATGGTGTTCTGGAGGTCACTCAGCCAGTAGTCGGATTTGAATGACTGATTAGATTTGCTACCCACAGAGTATTCATGCTACTTATGCTGAAAGATGGTTTAATCAGCCACGTGGCCCACTCACACTTGATACTGTGACTTGTACTAGTTAGTTTTGAACAATGTATCAGCCTCATTTAGTGAGTGTGTGGGACTAGCTAACTGCTCATCATTCATATTCCACAGGGGGCTTTCTCTGTTCATTATACTCAAGAAATTTGAAAAAAAATTTTTTTTAAATTTTCTTCTTTGAAGAAAACAGTGGTTAAAAAAAGTGTGTGGTTATGGGATATAGCTCTTATAAATGTCATGCTTCTACTCTGCATGGTGGATTTGTAGGGAGCTATTAAGATTATTTTGTGATCAGAGACATTGTTTGAAATGTGCTTCTGTCTATTCTTATAGAACAACAATCTCTTAAGAGAGTACTACAGCATTTAATAATGGCAATTGCATTATTCTCCAGAGTATAAGGTAGGTCGAATGCATAACTATCTTCATTTTAACAAGGAATCCATTACAAATCAGTGGCAAATAATGACTAACACACACACAGAATACTTTACAAATAGCTTTTCAAAGATGAGGATAATAAAGAGGTTGGGAGACCTAATAGTGGATTTTTTTAAAAAAATTGGTCCTTCAGCAGAGTTTGAGAAACACTGTTCTGATACCTTGTAATATTTATATCACAATACTTGCTAAATTGCAATCTATTCTAATTTTCTATTTGTCTTTATATTTCCCCTTGAATGAAAACTCTATGATTTCAGCAGCATTGTCTAGTTTTTCTTTTGTGTAATAGATTTTACTTTTTAGAGAAATTATAGGTTCATAGCAAAATTGAGTAGAGACACAGAGGGCTCCCATATGCCCTGCCCATCCTCCACCCCCCCACCCCCCGCCCCCATGTAGCTTCCCCCTTTGTCTCCAACAGAGCAGTGCATTTGCTACCTTGGATGAACCTACAATGACACATGATTATCACTAGGAGACTGTAGTTTGCAGGAAGTTCATTCTTAGCGTTGTCCATCCTATGAATTTGGACAAATGTATAATAACACGTATCTACCATGATAGTATCATATGGAATATTTCACTGCCCTGAATATCCATGGTGCTCCACCTATTAAACATAAAGATGAAGCAATGTTGTGGTATTGGCAGCAGAAGAAATGGACAGATCACCAGAACAAAATGGAATGTTTTGAAACAGATCTAAACATATATAAAAATTTTGTGTCTAATGCAGATGGTATTTAAAGTCAGTGAGAAAAGGAAGGGTTGGTTAACGAATGGGACAGTGACCAGTGGCACCTACATTAAAGCTAACATCAAAATAAAATTCAGAGAGATGAAAGATAATTCAGAAATAAAACCGCTAAGCCACTCAAAGTACTGGGTAATGTAAATTAATGATCACATCCTTTTGGAAGTTAGAAGGGTGTTTTGTTATGATACCATAAACAAGCTTCACAAAGAAAAAGATTTCCACACGATTTTACCCAAAAACTTAGGTGATAAACATTAACAAGGTATTAAAAATAACAAACTGAGATATATAATTTTAAAATAGGTGGTAAAATGGTTATACAAAATTACATACAAGAGGAAGTGAGGGGAAGGGGAAAAAAACAAGGGGGAGAAATGAATTACAGTAGATGGGGTAGAGAGAGAAGAGGGGAGGGGAGGGGAGGGGAGGGGGGATAGTAGAGGATAGGAAAGGCAGCAGAATACAACAGACACTAGTATGGCAATATGTAAATCAGTGGATGTGTAACCGATGTGATTCTGCAATCTGTATACGGGGTAAAAATGGGAATTCATAACCCACTTGAATCAAAGTGTGAAATATGATATGTCAAGAACTATGTAATGTTTTGAACAACCAACAATAAAAATTTAAAACAAAACAAAACAAAAAAAAAAATAGGTGCCAAAATACTTGACAAACATGTGAAAGGCTCTTAAACATCAATAAAATAGCACAAAGACCCTAATCAAAAAGGAGAAAAAAGGTAGAAGCAGGCTATTTATAAAGGAAAAGTTATTATCTTTATAAAATATGAATTCAGAAGCAGATCTGGCCATAAGGGACTGGCACAATCTTTATAAGAGGAAATACATATTAACTGAACTTAAAATAATAAGGCAAGGATATGAAGATATCCACATAAGATTAACTATTGCAACATTATTTAATAAAATTAAAACTGGAAACAGCCTTGATCTCCAAATATAAGACATTGCTTTAATATATTATGACCCTATCACTATAATGGAATATTTTGTTATGAGCAGACTATGATTTGTTGAAATAAAGATATTTACCTAATAGTTAATTAAACAGAGACATACTAACTGTAATATGTACTAGAGGAACTCATTTTAAAAGGTGAAAATTCCCATGTTTAGTTTTAGTGGGAGAACATTTGGACCAAAATGTTACCTTGGAATTTAGGTAATGTTTTTTTTTTTTTTTTAATTATTTTTGGAGTTTATAATTCTAATTTCAAAAATAAGTCTGTATCACAAAAAGGGAACACATTTTCATCTATTTACTCCTTTTTCATTGCCAACAATTTTGTGAAGTGTGACCGGTGGTTCCCATTACAAAGAAGGGATAACCGGAGAAGTGCAGAGGGTAAGAGGTCTCTGAGCCTATACAGCACGTGAGCTACGTGGCCAAGTCCTCTGACCCCAAATTTTCACTCAATGAAAAAATACTGAGTGCCAGGTGCCAAGCCTCTTCAGTTTAAATGACACTGGGCAATTTAGCAAGCTACCATTCCACCTAACACCAATGGATCAGGAGTTTTATGTGTGGAAAGCGCTTTGGGCAGTGCTTGGACATCTGAGTCACGGCTCGTGACTCCACAAATTCTCCAACGCTCACAATGGGAAATTCCCAGTTTAGAAAACTATAACCATTCACAGCTTTATTAAAGCGGTTGGTTCTGAGAGCAAATGTATGCTTTTCCCATAGTAAATTTACCTTTGCTGTTGAAGCCACACGTACGATTCTTGATGTTACTAAATGGAACTATGAAACCAACTATACTGGATTTACAATTGATTTACTAGGAAATGCCTCCTAATATCCCATTTGGGGTTTGGCAACAGTACCCTGGGGCAACCGCAGCAGTAGATCTGATTCCTTCTTCCCTTCCCCTAGCTCCAGGCCACCTGCAGAGCTTCAATAGTCCAATGGGAGTGAGAAATGAGGCCTGGGAAAGTCTGTGGGAAGTCAGCAGGAGCTGAGAGGAGGGCAGCTGGGCCTGGAAATGAGCCTGGAGGGGGCACTTGCCTTGCTGCTTACCTGTCTTCCCTACCTGGGAAATGGTCAGCAGAGAAGTAGGAGATAATGGACAGCCAGTGGGGGTTCCAGGAGGGGGGAATAAAGACCAGAGTGATATTAGGAAGGTAAGCCAGGAAGAGGAGGAAAAGGAGAATGAGGAGAAGGGAAGGATTATGTGTAGCTGGTGGTCACCCACAAAGGGCATCTGAGGTCAGGTGGCACACCTCCCTCACCATGCTGCGCCAACAGAGTGATCCCTGGATGCCAATTCCCTTCAAATTCCTCCCAGCTGGCCAATGTGGTGCCCACCTAGCTGAGGTGCAGCCTGCAGGTTGAACCTTGCCATTTATCATGGGCTGGAATGCAGAAGTGGTTGCCTTGACAATGACCTTGGCAATGTACCCTTGACTGCCTCAGCCTGGACCCTGATGGGGGAAAAAAGTCAACTATCTGTTATGGTTACTAGCCTGTGACAGACTCCAAACCGTCACACAAATGAGAATTCCACAGTGGTAAGAAACAAACAAGACAGTTTTATTATTATTATTAACCTCTACAGAGCCTTTCTTCCCTCTCCTTCCTCCAGCCAGCTGTCTGGTGGGGCCAGGGAAAGGATGAATAATGATAGACAAAAGTCAGGCTCCTGTCCTCTCCCAGCCCTGCAGATGACAGCACGGAATAATCCAGAACCATCATTCTGGTACAAATGTTTTCCTGAGGATTAAAATTCCAAAATTGAAATTTGTTTTCCCAGAAAAGAACCCTGGGAGAGAAGGCGGAAGGAAGTGGCGACTGCATCCTTGTGCCCTTGGGCTGTGGGAAAGAAAAGGGCTGATCCCTGAAGGCGTAGCCTTTCCACCTTGCAAGAGCAAAACCCAGGACATCTTGGAACTACCCTGTCCCCGTCCCAGTCTTCAAAGTCTCCAACCCAGGGGTGCAGATGCTCTGGATGTGCTGAGGCTGGAACACACGTGACATGCTCCAGGGACAGAAAGATGAGGGTGAGGGTGCGCTAAAGCACAGCAGGAGGAAGAGGGCACACTGGCGGGGAGTGGAAGAGAAGGCGGGACTACTGCTCTCCCCTCTTCACCATGGGTATGTGTTTTCTACTTCTAAAAAATATTTTAAGTAAAATTTCATCTTGTTCTACAAGAATTGAAACCCAATAAGCAATTTTATCCATTGGAACCTCCGTTTACCTATTTGGGAAATGAATAAGAACCAGGACCAATAAAGTCAGACATATATTCAAAGTGCTTTCACGTGTTTCTCCCATTTCAAGGTCTTGATCTTGTGAATATCCAAGGTGATACGTCTTCTTATTCCACAGTGGAGAACAGGCTCGGTGAGGTGAAGCTATTAGCCCAATGCTGCACAGTTAGTCACAGTTGCTGAGAACCGGTCCTCGAATACCAAGGAAGTTCTCCTGAGAACACGGTGATGTAGATGTTGCTTCCTCTGAATCTGTTCTGAAAGTGCATTCAGTTTTGTTTTTTTGATCTCCTGTCAGCTAAATGCTGGTCTGTAAGTTATTGTTTTAAACTACAGCTGACTGAGCTGTGTTGAGATCTTTGTCAAGAAACCTTTGAGTTGGCACTGCGACCTCTGTAGCTGGTCCTTATGATTAAAAAGCCATTTCGATCTTTCGTGGTGATTATTTGTCTCATGTTTGTCCAGGGCTCTCACAAGACACTCTCACCTCAGTTGCTCCCAGTTATGAAGCCATGCCCCTTGCCTTCTGGTAATTGGGCACTGGGGAGTCTCCAAGGAGAGCAGGACACACCCTGCTTTCCCCAGTTCCTCTTCTGCCCTTCCCACACTTCCTCCTTGGAGTCCTCTGCTTGCACTTCAGGGCTTCCTTGCTGGGGATACCCGGGGAATAAAAAGCCAGTGGCAGGAACAGAACATCTTCTGGCTTCAGGCAAAACAGGGAGAGGGGGTAGAAAATAGGAAAGAAGAGGACATGCAGGAGGGATGTGCTCATTGCCTCCAGGAGAAGGAGAATGGGTCCTTGGCTCTGGCTTCACCAAGATTTGCCTCCAGTCCCTGGTTAACTGCCCTGATCTTGCGTGGCTGCTTGGGTTCTGAAGCAGAGAAAGCTGCCCCAAGTGGAGGTCCACTGAGTAGTGCCCTGGCCATCCAACCAGGGGCAGGGGCTGCAGGAAGGGGGCAGGAGTGGTTGAGTGTGGAGGGCAATGCAGGAAGGAAGCAGCTCAAAAACTGGGCCAAAACTGGGTAACCAAGCTGCTGTTTCCTCGCTGGTTTGGGATTGGGTTCTGCCCAGGAACGAACGAGCTCTTAGCAGAGGGAGAGGAAACATGGTGGGCACTGACGTCTGCCATTCAAATCCATGGTAGGCCCAGCTCGCGGTTTGAAGGGCTGGAGAATGGTTTTTTAAAGCAAGACACCTCCCTTCTGGTTCCTTCCACTGTCAGAACATAGAATCAAACAACATAGACTCTCCTTTCTTGGGTGTGGTGTCCTGTTGATGTCACCAGGGTGTCACAGGTCTGAAAGAGCACTTCTCTAATCCTCTAGTCATGGACTTGGTGGAAAGTTGGGGTTGGAATAAGACTAAACCTCCTAGATTCAGATTCTAGGCTATCTAAGCATTTGTAAATGCTTCCCTATTTCAAACTACCTAGGGCCTTGTGAATGCTGCGCAAACACTCTATCAGAGCTACATCCCCAATCCTTTCTATTTTATTTGGAACCCCGTGATTCCTACATTGCCCAGGCTGGCCTTGAACTTTCGATCCTTCTGCCTCAGTCACCAGAGTAGCTGGGCTTACAGGCATGTACTACTGTGTCCAAATAAGGAAGCACTTTTAATTTGTTTACATTTGAAAGTGCCATGATCATGAACATGATGGTTCTCTAATACAAGGGAAAAATATGAGTGAGTATAATCCTTAGCCCCCTTTCCTTTCTTTGGACCCTAATTTTGTAACTTCACTAATTAGCTGATTACACTACCATATCTTAGAACTCTAAGGATGTTGTTTTTTTCTTCTACACCCCTGGGGGGTTAATTTATGTATTTCGACCCTAAAATGATATATTTATGAATAATAATCCTTCAACACAACACTTCACATCATGGATTGCAAACTGTTCTATGTGAATCCTCACTTGTGCATTTAACTCTGACATCTTCAATGTTCTTAAAAACACAGTTCTCATTGGTTAGTGTTCTTTCTATTCCGAAGTTTACCTTCCCCATATTGCTTCTCCCAGTGGTCCCGGCAACACCTTTGCTATAGCAGGTCCTTTCAGCTAGTTCAGGGCAGCTGGCCCGTTCTCTGCCCACTCTTCTTGACAGTAAGTTTCCCCAGTGCTTTTATTTTTCTTTATTCAAGTTTCTAGACCCATGGTCTTAATGACCTTTGCATAGACACATGAAGTTTTTCAATATTCTCTTTTGTAATCATTGTCGTCAAGAGAATTAATCCACATTTAATAAGTTTTTATTTTGGTAGAATTCACATAAAGCCCATCACACTTTTTATTTGCAAGTGCATAATTCAGTGCCATAGGTCCATTTCCACCTCCATCCATCTTCAGAACTTTTACATCATCCCGCACAGAAACTCTACTCACTGAACACCCTGGTCACCCCCTACTCCAATTTCTCACTCTGAATTTGATGACTCTAGGTACCTCAGAGAAGTGGAGTCCTACAACATTTGTCCTTTTTTGGTCTGGTTTATTTCACTTAACAATCTTTTTAAGCTTTATCCCCACTGTAGCATGTATCAGAATTTAATTTCATTTTCAGGCTGAATAATATTCCATGGTAAAGATAACACCACATTTTGTTCATCTGTTCACCTGTTGATGGGCTGGCTGTTTCTACTTTGTGGTTATGAAGGATGGTGCACAGGTTTCTGAGTCCCTGCTTCAATTCTTTCGAGTATACTTCAGGAGTAGAATTTCTGGATCAAATGGAAATTCTGTTTAACTTTTTGAATAACTACCATACCGTTTTTCATAGTGACTGTACCATTTTGCATTTCCATTGGAAGTGTGTGAAGTTTCCATTCTCTCTACAATATCATATGCATTTATTTTCTGTTTTTTTTGGTAATAGTCATCCCAATGGGTGGGAAGTGTAGCTTCTTGTTATCTTTATTTGCATATCCCTAATGACTGATGTTATTGGGCATCTTTGTGTCAGTATACTTATTTAAAAAAATCCAGAATAATCAGTATTCTTCAGACATTATTTGAGCAAGAGAGGTTAGAGTTTGATGAGCCACTGAAGGCTTGTCCATGCAGAATGTGAATGAGTTGACTTTTGTAGAAGCTACATTGTGCTGTTAACTCATCTAGAAATATTAGAAGCATTAGTTCACTAAAACTCTGGAATCCTGCTCATCATAATGTTCTAAAGTCACACTTAAAGTCATATTTCCCCACCTTAACCAAAGTTAGATCTCATTTGGTCTTTGCCTAATTTTCTAGGCTCTATCACCATTTTGACTCTGCATTTTATTGGTCCCTCCTTTTGTAGAGCCAGCTGTAACTTTGACCTGACTTCTGAGTTTTCATTAAAGACATTTAAGTGTGCAAATGCTAATGACTAGGGCAGACTCAGTACAGAACACTGTGAGCTGCCATCACAGATCCTTCTTTCCTGGATCTGAAATGAGTTGTTGCTCCCTGGATACTACCTAGGTATTTCCATGTTTCCAACAGGAGTGTTTTGAGGTACTCTGGTAAATATCTAAATGAAATCAAGATACTTTCTCCTAAGTCTAATGGTTTGCTAGTTTAGTGATTCTATAAAGATGGAAATTAGGTGAGGTTGGGATGAATGATAGTGAATCTAGATTAAGTGCTGCTGATTACTACTTTTTATCATTTTTTAAAGAACTAAACAAAAATTCTCCTGCCATAATCCAAGCCTATTCCTCTTTTGAGTGAGAATTTTTAAATTGCTAGCTAGCATTCTCTTTTCAATTATTCTTTTATATCAGTGCTATATAGTAAAACCACCTCCGAATCTTCTATTTTCCATACCAAGTAATATTTACTTTTTGCTCTTTCTACCAAATATATTCATATTCAAATTTCAAATGATTTTTTTTCTACTCTCTGAATAGTATCTGGCTTTGACATGAACTTATTAAAATGCTGAGCCCAAAGCAATTCTGTACCATTACATTTAAGGTCAAGGGAGGCAACCACACACTTTTCCTAGTATGTTACTGACTGTCAGAGGCAGGAACCTGGGCTGAAGAGAGAGAGAGAGTACAGTTCTAACTGTGGCCAGTTCTAGTATGTTCTCTAACATCGAGGAAGTCCATACAAAGCCCCATGAGAAACTGGGTGAGCCTGTGAAAAATCACTTGACCTCTGGGAGTGTCAGCTTCTTGCCATAGGATGAAGGAGTGGAGATGAATCTTTCCCGTCTGTCCCAGTCCTAGCACTCTGTGGAGCCTGAGGACTCACCACAAAGCTTGGCCCACCACTGTGCTGAGGCTAATGCATTTACAGACAGAAAATGATCATCGTGGAGAAATCTCCCGGTGTCCTCATACTGAGGAGCAATTTACAAGTGATCTATTCAATAACAACAATCATACCAGAAATATTCACCATGAGCAACAACTCATGGATTATAGATATATGCTGGTGGGAAATATGAATTTCATCCTCAAAATACTTGTATTTCAGTGGGGAATGGTGGTGCACACCTGTAATCCCAGTGGTTTGGGGAGGCGGAGGCAGGAGGATTTTGAGTTCAAAGCCAGCCTTGGCAACTCAGTGAGGCCTTAAGCAACTCAGTGAGAACTTGTTTCTAAATAAAATATATTAAAAAAAAAAGGGCTGGGGATTTGGCTCAGAGTTTAAGTGCCCCTGGGTTCAATCCCCAGTACCAAAAGTAAACAAACAAACAAAATCCCTTGCATTTCAAAATAACAAAACAGAAATATACAGTATTGATAAAAAAAATTGATAGAAACTCCTGGTATCACAAATTTTAGAGTTAGGAGGTTTCCCCTCTGAGACAAGAGCAGAATTTGAGCATAATACAGTGCCTACTTTGCCACCTGCATTTCACCATTTCTTTGCCAAAGTTAGCTTCTAGTACGGGGGCAGGGGCACACTAGGATGTCAGATCATCAGCGGAACACTGAATCAGATGTCACAAAATCACTCGCCTGTCCTGTTCTTCAAAAATCCTTACTTAAAATGTATAGAGGTCGTGCTGCTCTCTCCATCTTCCTCAGGGATTTCTAGGAATGTGCTGGAGAAATATATAATCTGTAAGGCGTAAGATAACACAAAGTCCAGGTTACATTCTGGACTGTTTCTGCCAAATAAAATGAAACATATAATAATTTCTGTTTCTACTTGAGTTCCAAAGTCCCCAAAGCTAGGAGGAAGCCTCACCGTCATCAAGTCCTTTATGTACACTGAATACTTTCTGCAAGACTCAAATGAGGGGCTGGAGGGCCCTGCCTCCAGGGAGCCCTCCCATTAGTGCCCCCACCAGGGAGAGCACAGTCCTTAAATGTCTAGTGGCAGGCAGGGCTCCTCTCTGCTGTCCTTTGAAGTCTTGTTTGTTAGTTGGCCCATCAGTTCCTGTCTGCTTGGTAGCTGGTGAGCTCACATCCTGCTGAGTTTACTTTTAAAAAGA